TGGATTAGCATTTTTGCTTGCCCAAGTGTAATGAGGCTGATATGCGCCCATGGCAATTTCGGTATCTCTCGTCCCTGCTAGAGAGCGTTGGTTAATGTTGGCGGACCCTAATATCACGTACTCATCGTCCACTATCATTCCCTTTGAGTGGACATAAATCATGAAACGACGGTTCTTTCTACTAAGGGCCTGCGTGGTAAAAAAAAAAAAGTGTCGGGACACTGTTAAAATTTAAGATCACAAATTATGAAGTACGGCGTAAGTATGTTTGAATTCTAGTTTGAGTTGGTATAATTTACCTGTGGAGTGCTTGTGCTGGAGCTCTTGACGTTTGACAGATCGGAACCACTGTAATCCGGCTCACGATTACCAAGGCAAAAGAAGTTCAAATAATCCTGAGGTTCGTATTCTGTGTGGAGGCCCGTCTCTACTAAAGCATTGTAGATGATTTCGTACATCATCTGCATTGTGTTGTACTGCAGGCATGTGGGAAACTATCAGTTCATTCCTTTTCAACTTGAAAAAAAAAAAAAAAATAGAAAAAACACAAGAGCACACCTGCCAAAAGAGAATTCTTTGAGTTGGAGTACTTGTAGGGACTCCCTCTGGCCACATTGGAACCAGGATATATGCAGCAAATCTCTCCCCAGCTCGGATTTTGTTCGCAATCTTCAGTGCTATTTCTATAGGGATCAAATTGTTTGCACCTGAAAATATATAGAAGCTTGGACTGTTTCTTATATTCCTTTAACATATCAGGATAATCTGAAGATTAAGTGAATTAAGCTGCTACTCACCCAAGTCCTTGTAGTGAGCCCAGTTGTAAGACGACCCAAGAAAGTACTGGTTCTCGATGTAAATGAAATGTTGGGCAGAACGAATTGCCTTAACATAAGCTGTATGTACACTCATGTCTATCAATACATTCTTCCCACACACCAAATTCTGTTCAACACAGTATAAAAATGTCACTAAAACTCATTAGTTTATTATAACTCATCATAAATCATCATAATGAAAAACTCTCATGAACAGATGATCTTTTTTTACTAAGATGTATTTACCCTCTCCGAAGCCTCCCTCGGATTCTTGGGGAACCCTTTAACTGAGTTCGAGTCAATTGAACGAAAGACCTATATTTCATCAAATATCTTCAGAGACCCGTAAAACTGAATTAAAACAAAATAATAAACTATATATCGCAAATTCTACCAAACCTGGACGTTCCAAGACTCTGGATCATCTTCAGATACTGTGGCTGCTTCTGTGATTCCCATTATTTCTGGCATTCGTTCAAGCTTCAGCAAACAATCATCGTACGAGCTTTTTAGTTTGTTCGGGCCATGGCGCTTTGCAGCCCTTAGCCACCTCTCTTCGAAATTCTTCAACACATCATAAGCCGCCGGACCATCAATTCTGCAATGCAAATCGTGCCACGGCTCTCTAGGACAACCCACTGTTGGCCCCTATATTCAGTCATTTAATCTTTTTTTAGAAAGAAATCACAATATCCCATTTCCAGCATTTTGTGCTCTTGAATTGAAAGGAAGTACCGTGAAATTAGGATTATGATAATCGTCCTTGTGGATAGTTTGCAACGTGCTGAATAGCGGGTGCTGTGGGGTGTCGTATCTACCCTTGCAGAGGTCGAGGCCCCCAACAAAGGCCACGATTTTTCTTCCATAGTTACTGGACTCTACATCAACTATCACACTTTTCTGATGGTGAGTATAGATTGTACCCGTTTCCTAAACATGGAAGCTAGAAATAAGTCACACTTCAAAGTAATTTCTAGTTTTCCTCCATAACTTATGGCATACATTAGGCCATAGAAATCCGAACGCGCAGACTTACGTCTAGGCTCACTAGAGCAAAATGTAAAAACTAGAATCAAATTATAGAAATCCTAATGCAAACTAGAGTGCACCATTTCAACAAACCTGTTTTTTGGCCCAGCTACCTTTCCCAGCAATACGTGGACATAGAAGTACCCTCACAGACGAATGCTTGAAGTATCTGCGCGTCTCGTCATCTCCAGTATTCATTACACCTTCCTGAGCAACATCACAAAAATTTCAACTTCAACAAACTTACACCAATACAAGATGGCTTCCATTTAGATCATCTTTGCAGCCCGAACCTCATCTCACTAAAGATGACTAATTTTCATTA